CTCTCTCAAACAACCATGCAACCAAATAACAAAGAGTCTCTTGTGTCCCCAACACACCCAATACAATGGCAAATTGTATAGGTGCACTAGTTCAGCGAAGAGATGGTGATACAAGTGTGATATGGATGGTAGATATAGGTATTTGTAATCTGAAAATATAAAAACAGCAAGGTAACTAATGATAAAAGTGAGCATAAACGGTATTGCAATGGTAGGAAACGAGGCATAGGGTTCATACTTTCACTAGTGCAAGTTCTCTCAACAACAATAACATAGATAGATCATATAACAATCCCTCAACATGCAACAAAGAGTCACTCCAAAGCCACTAATAGCGGAGAACAAACAAAGATATTATGGTAGGGTACGAAACCACCTCAATGTTATCCTTTCTGTTCTATCTATTCAAGAGTCTGTAGTAAAATAACATGAAGCTATTCTTTCCGTTCAATCTATCATAGAGTTCATACTAGAATAACACCTTAAGATATAAATCAACCAAAACCCTAATGTCACCTAGATACTCCATTGTCACCTCAAGTATCCGTGGGCATGATTATATGATATGCATCACACAATCTCAGATTCATCTATTCAACCAACACAAAGTACTTCAAAGAGTGCCCCAAAGTTTCTACCAGAGAGTCAAGACGAAAACGTGTGCCAACTCCTATGCATAGGTTCATGGGCGGAACCCGTAAGTTGATCACCAAAACATACATCAAGTGGATCACGTGATATCCCATTGTCACCACAGATAAGCACGGCAAGACATACATCAAGTGTTCTCAAATCCTTAAAGACTCAATCCGACAAGATAACTTCAAAGGGAAAACTCAATCCATTATAAGAGAGTAGAGGGGCAGAAACATCATAAGATCCAACTATAATAGCAAAGCTCGCGATACATCAAGATCGTGCCATAGAGAGAACACGAGAGAGAGAGAGAGAGAGATCAAACACATAGCTACTGGTACATACCCTCAGCCCCGAGGGTGAACTACTCCCTTCTTGTCATGGAGAGCACCGAGATGATGAAGATGGCCACTGGTGATGGATTCCCACTCCGGCAGGGTGCTGGAACGGGCTCCCAAGAGGTTTTTGGTGGCTACAGAGGCTTGCGGCGGCGGAACTCCCGATCTATCTTGTGTTTCGATGGTTTTAGGGTATATGGGAATATATAGGCGAAAGAAGTCGGTCGGGGAGCCTCGAGGGGCCCATGAGGGTGGAGGGCGCACCCAGGGGGGTGGGTGTGCCCCCTATCTCGTGGCCTCCTCGACGCTTCCCTGGCTTGCACTCTAAGTTCCCGGGATTGCTTGTGTTCCAAAAATAACTTTTCCGAAGGTTTCATTCCGTTTGGACTCCATTTGATATTCCTTTTCTTCGAAACACTGAAATAAGGAATAAAACAGCAATATGGGCTGGGCCTCCGGTTAATAGGTTAGTCCCAAAAGTAATATAAAAGTGTATAATAAAGCCCGTAATCATTCAAAACAGATAATAAAATAGCATGAATGCTCCATAAATTATAGATACGTTGGAGACGTATTAGCGAGTCATGCATTTTGTTCTTAGGCCATACATTGGTGTATTTGTTGTGGTCTATTTTGATGATATTCTTGTCTTTAGAAAATCCCTCAAAGATCATGTCATCCATCTTAGACCGTGTTGCAAACCCTTAGGAAAGAGCGCCTTTATGCTAATATGGACAAATGCCTTTTTGGTGTTGATAAACTTGTTTTTTTGGGTTTTGTAGTATCTTCTAAGGGTGTGTATGTAGATGAATCTAAGATGAATGCTATTAAAACTTGGCCACAACCAATCAACTTGCAACAAGTGCGAAGTTTTCTTGGCCTAGCCGATTTTTATCGTAGATTTGTTAAAGATTTAAGCACCATTGCTTTACCTTTACATGCTTTGAGAAAGAAGAATTCACCCTTTTTTGGGGGACCATCTCAAGATACCGCATTCAATGAGCTTAAGAATTTTCTTACACATGCTCCTTTGCTTGCCTTACCCAACTTTGATAAACCATTTGAGATACATTGCGATGCTAGTGGTTATGGCATAGGAGGTGCGTTAATGCAACAGAAGCGCCCCATAGCTTACTTTAGTGAAAAACTCTCTGGTGCGCAACTCAATTACCCCATCTATGACAAACATCTATATGCTTTAGTTCGAGTATTGCATGTTTGGGAGCATTATATCTATCCTCATGAGTTCATTCTCCACACCGATCGTGAAACACTTAAGTATCTTAAGGTTCAAACTAAGTTAAACAAGCATCATCCTAAGTGGAATGAATTCATCGAGTCATTTCCTTATATCATAAAGTATAGAAAAGGTAAGGAAAATGTTGTGACAGATGCGCTTTCCCGTAGATCCATGCTTGTTACCCAACTTGAATTGAATGTAATTGGTTTTGAGCACATAAAAGACTTGTATGCGCATGAGCCTACTTTTGCTATTCCTTATGCTAAATGTTTGACGCATACATCTTGGGAACGCTATTACATCAAGGATGATTATCTTATGAGAGCTAACAAACTTTGCATCCTTGAGTCTACTCTCCGTTTGCTACTTTTGCAAGAGGCTCATGGAGGTAGACTAATGGGACACTTTGGATGCGATAAGACATTCGCCACGCTCTCCAAGAACTACTTTTGGCCCAAGATGTTCCGCGACGTCTCACGCTTCACCAACCGATGCTCTAAATGTCGCAAAGCTAAGTCAAAAGCTCAATCCGATGGTCTTTAAATTCCCCTCCCAATTCCATATCACCCATGGGAAGATATTAGCATGGATTTGTGCTTGGTTTGCCTAGAACTCGAAATGGCAAAGATTCCGTGTTTGTTGTTGTGGACCGATTCTCTAAAATGGCTCATTTCATCCCATGCAACAAGACAGACGATGCTTCACATGTTGCAAATCATTTTTGTAGGGAAATCTTGCGCCTACATGGAGTTCCAAAGATTATTGACATCAAGTTCTTGAGCTACTTTTGGAAGATTCTATGTGCCAAGCTTGGAATCAAGCTTTTGTTCTCCTCGGCATACCATCCACAAACCGATGGTCAAACGGAGGTGACAAAACAGACGCTTTCCACTCTACTTCGCATGTTGATCAAGAAGAACATCAAGGAGTGGGAGGAGTGCCTACCTATCACCGAGTACGCCTACAACCGCGCAAGACATTAGACTACCTACAAGTCCCCTTTCGAGATCGTCTACGGCTTCAACCCATTGTCCCGATTGGACATTCTCCCTCTACCACTACAAGAGCGCATCAACATGGATGCGAGTGCACGAGTGAGCTACCTCAAGAAGATGCATGAAGATACAAGGCAGACCATCGAGCGCCAAGTACAATGACTCGCGACCAAGCTCAACATCAACAAGAAACCCATGATATTCGACGTTGGAGATCTCGTGTTGCTACACCTTCGCAAGGAACGCTTTCCCAACAAACGCAAGTCCAAGCTTCTACCTCGAGCCGACGGACCCTTCAAGGTGCTAGCACGCTACAATAACAAGGTCTACAAGATCGATCTCCCACGCGACAAGTACAACGTGAGTGATGTCTTCAACATCAAGGATCTCTCTCCCTACCATGTGATGAGGCTTTCGATTCGAGGACGGATCTTTCCCAAGGGAGGGGGGGCGAGATGATGCGGAGCATCTCACGGTCATCCCCATGGACACTACCTCGACTACCCAAGCTCCAAGTGGGCCCATGACAAGAGCTCGAGAATGTACTATTCAATCCGAGGTGACATTGCTCCTACTTGAGCTCCTCTTACATTCGAGTGAGACATGGTTGCTACCTAAGTTAGAGACACTATGTGTGATAAGATACAACGCACAAGCCATAGAGCCGAGAGCTGAAGAAGAAGAAACATGCGTCAACTGTCTGTTCAACCCGAAACTTCCGGCCAGAACCCGGAACCTCCGGCCGCCCCGGAACTTCCGGCCGCCGATGATCCAGACAAGCCCGGGCGTGCCAACTCTCTGGTTAGCCCGGAACCTGCCCTGAACCTCGCACGGACCTTCCGGCCCCCGGACGTCAGCCCAGCGCCCACCATGCCAACTCTCTGGTTAGGCCGGACCCTCCCCAGAACCTGGCCCGGAACTTCCTGCACCCAGAACTTCCGACCCCGCCCGGAACTTCCGGCCCTGCCTGCGCGCAGTGACCTGGGCCGAGACCCGTGTACCATTTCGCCGCCTAGACTATATATACTCTTCTCCTACCTACGTTTTAGGGGGAGCAAAGTAGTAGCTCCTTTGAGAAGCTTTGCTCTCCACTTGATCCCTTCTCCATCGAAGTTCACGACCTCTACGGGGAAGATCCCCCAAGTGCATTCAAGGCCCCTCATGAGAAGACACGTCAAGACCTCCTCACGGAGAAGAACTTGTTATTTGTATCGTCCTTTGTTGAATTTAGATCGTGTATCTCTTTGTGTTTCGAGGATCTAGCACTTGTGTAATCGAATCTTGTTGGTTTGAGTGAATCCTCTCGTGTTTCTCCCCATGTTTTCCCCTCGTGTTCTTCGCGGGATCCGCTCCAATCGTTAAAGATCGGGCGTCTAGGTTCTACCCTACATCATCTTGGTAGTGAAGCCTGACACTGTGGTTGTGAGGGCGAACCTAAGCTGTCTCCTGGTACATCCGGTGATGCTTGGCGGTGTATCACAGTTTGAAAAAAGTGTGTCACATATGTTCAAAAGCCACAAAGATTGCTCGAATCGAGTCAAGCTCGTGCAAAAATCATCTATACCGGCACCGGCTCATCCCAAGGGTGATTACTTGATTGTGCAGTGCACCATCACAGTTTTGAAGGAACAGACAGACGTGGCAGCCGCGGTGCCCGTACCGGCCTCTAACCTGCACCAGCACTTCGGGGACCTCTTACAACGTGGGATTGAAGCCAACATCACATTTGTTGTGTCGGGCGAGTCATTTGCTGCTCACAAGATCATACTGGCTGCTAGGTCGCCTGTTCTCATGGCCGAGTTCTTTGCGCACATGAGGGAGGCGAGCGCTCAACGCATCATGATAGAGGACATGGAGGCGGCAGTATTCAAGGCAATGCTGCACTTCATCTACACTGACACAGTGCCTGAACTTGATCTGGAGCTGGAGGCAGTAGAGACGATGGCTCAACATCTGCTTGTGGCGGGTGACAGGTACGGGTTGGACCGGCTCAAGGTTATCTGCGAGGGAACATTGTCCGGTGGCATCAACATTGACACGGTGGCGACGACTTTGGCTTTGGCTGAGCAGCACAACTGTTCGCACCTTAAGGCTAAGTGTGTTGAGTTTATCATCAGCACTCCTGCGATCCTTGATGCCGTGGTGGCAACGGAGGGGTATAAGCATCTGGAGACAAGCTGCCCCGCAGTGCTTACTAGCATTGTCCTTTCCATGCGTGGGAGGAACTAAAGTTCAGTTCCACTTAAATGTGGTTTACTATTTATTCACCTTCAGTGCATGGACCTTGTAGAACTAACTTATGCCATCCTGTCTTTTGCATAATGATCATCTATGCCCAACTTCTATATATATTGTAATTGCCAAGGTGCATTTGCTCTTACTATTATTTTGGCATATAAGACTGCTGCATTGCTTAGTACCCCTACACTTGGAATTCAAAATAAATCATTCAAAATGGGTATTTTGGAGGTCAAAAATCTTGAAAAAAAATCAATATTGCAACTTTTCAGTTTGAAAAATTCTGAAAAATTATACATGTATATACAATTATGTAATGTATATGCAAGTAAAATTTCACGATGAACTACCTTAAATTGTGAGTTGCACCAAAAAAATTGAGGAAATTGAGAATGAACAATGCATATGCTGAGAAGCCACATAATTGTTTATTTTTGTGTAGCTCCCATTTTAAAGTATTTCATCATGAAAATTAACGCACACGTGCATAATGTGTCTGGGTGTATGTCTATTTTCTTTAGAATTTTTTGAACATAAATGTATGACTTTCAAAATTTTCAAATTTGGCCTGCGTGGAGATCCTCCTCCAGATTTAACATTTTCAATGAGGACTTCAATATAAAATGACCTTTGCAAGTATAATGGTTCGATTGTTCAAATGGATTGTTATATTATTTGTCCTATTGATTAACGACTTGTCAAAGTTAAAAAATGGATAAGTAACGGAACAATTCATGTAGCTGCCGGTTTGACATGATTTCATTTAAACTCAAATCACAGTGTTATGGTCAAAGACAAAGAAATCTTGTGACAATCTTGCTGAATTTGCACGTACAACATAGTAGGTGTTGTCTTTTTCAAAGAATATATGCATGACAATTGCATGTATATTCAACTAGCAGTTTTAATATGGGTTCTCCTTTTGGTAGGTTTAGGATTTTTGGTGAGGGCAGAAAGGTGGTAGTGGAGTCCCCTGAAGAGCTTCACGAAAACAGTGAGGTGTACCGTGAGCGGGACACTGTGGAATTACCCGGTTTGGCTTGTGTTTTTAAGAGCGGAGCTGTGCTGGGGCGCCCACGTAATGGTTGGAACACCATTCATCATTGTGCTAGTATCAGTGAAAAACTAGCATATTATATCGCCATTAATAAGGAAAAAATAGCTCGTTATACAAAATAGTGCCACCCTTTGAAATACTCTATTAGCGTGCTATAGCGCACTAGAGGTGCTATTAGCGACACATTGTACATTGATCTATATGGCGAGGCAATTCTCTATATGCTATAGCGCGCTATTTTTTAGACCTCTTCCAATGCAAAGCTGCTTAGATGAAGTGCTAAGTGCATTAGATACCTTAGCAACTTAATTCTCCAATGAATAGGTGCTTAATTGTTGTTGCTAAGCACACTTTATTTAATGAGTTGGCACCTAAAGTCTTTTATGCATTGGTCAAATTGTTTCATTTAAATGGTTTGCCTAGATTCACGTGCTTGGCGTTTGTTTTTCCTAGGGTCTCCAAAGTCCTCTCTCCCATTCTTAATTTGTTGTGCCATGTCATTTTTTCGTTTATGTGGCATCAATGTCTTGCTAAATAAATTTATTTATAGTGTGTCGCTAATTGCATGCTAATAGTCCATCTTGTCATAGCATGCTATGTTTTTTTTCTTCATTAGCTATTTTATCATAGCACGCTATGTACTCCACGGATGCCATGGCTGTTGGCACACGACTCATCGGGAAGGTGAACGCAGTGATTGTTGGGTATTTTGCATTGATTGACCACTTCGGTGTTGCGTCTTAAACTTCCAACGCCCATGCATGCCGGCGTCTCCACCCGAGGAGTCACCACCTCGCTGGTTTTAATTGCCGCCCCTGCTGTACAAATTGCCCTGCTCCGCCATCAGTCCATCATCTTCTCACCCCCAACCTCCACTTCCTCTCCGTCTACACCCCCCACTTCTCCAGCCTGCGCCATGGCTGCTAATGCCTGCACAAACCTCACTGATACCGCGCGCTTCGAGCGACTGTTCAAGATCGACAGAGTTCAGCTTGGTGTCCTCGACCCTAGGCAGCACCGAGTTCATCAAATCCAATGCTATCCACGTCGATGGGTACGAGTGGGAAATCCATTGCTTTCCATGTACTGGGTACAACATGTTAACCCCCCTGACGGCCCGGCTCCACCTGATGGCCCGGCCCCACCCACCAACGGGGCGACGACTCGGCCCAGCCGCACCCGACGCTGCAATCCACGCTACTGTGGCCCAGAGTGGGTCAACCGGCCCGGTCCATCTACTTCCACTACTTAAGCTTCCCTGCCTCTCCATTCCCCTCATCCAGTGGATCACGAATGGCGGCGGCGGCAAGAACCCAAGATACCTTCGATCTCCATTCGTGTAATCAAGTCTGTCTCCAAACTAAATCGCCACTGAGTGACTATAGATCGATTCCCTCTTGCCAGTCCCTTACATCTGGTATCAGTCGCCACAACACCTCCACTCTTCCGCCCGATCTGGCTCATCTCATCGAAACCCGAGGGATCCGCCACGATCGTTTTCTCGTCGAAGCCATGGATCCGTCTGTGAAGGCCTACCTCGACAAGCTCACCGCAACGATGGAGGCCAACACCGCGGCCCTCACCGCGGTCACTGTCCGCCTCGACGATCTCGTCGCCTGGCGACCGGATCTGGAGCGCCGCGTCTCCGATCTGGGCGACGCGGTCACCGCTCTCCAACAGGCGCGCCCGCTTCCCTCCACCGACACCAACGGGAGCGCGCCACCCCTTCCCACTACGGCTCCACCGCCCGTGCTGCCCACCGACAGTGTGGGCCTGGCGGGAGGCGATGAGGACGCCCCTCAAGGGTCTAAGGACCACGGCGAATTCCATCTGCATCGGGGGAGGCCGGCGGTGTCGTTCCAGACGCCGCCGCCCCTCCCGGCTAACGGTCAGATCGAAACCCTACCTTCTTCGTTTGCGCATGCTAGTCAGATGCTTGCGGGTTTGGGACAAGCCCACCCTTCCATTTCGTTCCCACAATTCACGGGCGAGAACCCGAACATGTGGAAAACGATGTGCGAGCAATATTTTTCCATGTTTGGCATTCATAAAACCTTCTGGGTTCCCATGGCTGCCCTCAACTTCTCGGGGGCCGCGGCCATTTGGTTACAGTCAGTCCAAAAGAAGCTCAATAACTTCGATTGGGAATCATTCTCTGCCCTGTTAACTACGCGATTTGGTCGTGATAGACATCAATTGCTCATTCGGCAGTTTTATACCATTAAACAAACATCCACTGTAGCTGATTATATCGAACGATTTGAATTGATCATTAACCATTTGAGCTCTTATTCAGACTCTATTCACCCGTTTTACTTCCTCACCCGTTTTGTGGAAGGATTGAGGGCGGACATTCGAGCGGTGGTCATGGTTCAGCGACCGCCCGACCTGGACACGGCATGTGCCTTGGCGCTGCTTCAGGAGGAGGTGGCCGACAACGCGCGTGCGGATGTACTTCGTCCCGCACCTACGTGCCCTCCAGACGCGCCACCGAAGCTGACCGTGCCACTTCCTCTCCCTCTTCCACCAGCACGTGCGACACCACCAGCTCGAGCTGCAGATCGTCGCGGCACCGACGCGGCACGAGCTGACTCCACCAAGCTCAAGGCTCTGCGCGACTACCGCCGAGCGCGTGGGCTGTGCTTCAAGTGCGGCGACCGGTGGGGACCCGACCACACCTGCCCGACGTCGGTCCAGCTCCACGTCGTCGAGGAACTTCTGGAACTCTTCGGCATCGACGCTACATCAACACCACAGCAGCCGGAAAACACTCAAGATGAAGTGGTCATGGCCATCTCCAAGCCGGCCCTGACAGGGGGTGTATCGAGCAAGGCATTCCAATTACGAGCGTGGATCCAGGGGCATGAGGTCCTGATGCTAGTGGACTCCGGCAGCACCACATCCTTCATCAACGAGCGCCTGGCGGCGGCCATCCAAGGCGTCCAACCCCTCCCACGTGCGTACCAAGTGCGCGTCGCCGATGGGGGAGCACTCGCCTGCTCTGCCAGTGTGCCACAGTGTCAATGGTGCACTCAGGGACATCAATTCACGATGAATATGAAGGTGCTGGCGCTCGGGACGTACGACGCAATCTTGGGCATGGACTGGCTTGAGGAGCACAGTCCCATGACCGTGAATTGGCGCACGAAACTCATCGAAATCCCGTCTACCGCGGGGGCAATTCGTCTCCAAGGGCACGAAGCTACTTCTTCAACTTGCTCCGTCATCAACACGCTCCAACTCCAGCAACTCTGCAACACGAATGCCATCACACACATGGCGCTGATCTACGCGACGACCAGCGAGGACAGCAGCAACACCACTTCAACAGAAATTCAAGCTGTTTTGGAGGAATTCTCGGATGTATTCAAAGAACCAGAAGGGTTACCGCCTCGGCGCGACTGTGATCACAAAATTCCTCTCATACCAGGGGCCCAACCGATGAATATCCGACCCTATCGGCACAAGCCAGAGCACAAGAAGGAGATCGATGCTCAGGTGGAGGAGCTTCTCCGCAAGGGCATTATCCAGAAAAGCAGCAGTCCCTTCTGTTCGCCAGCCATTCTCGTCAAGAAGAAGGACGGGACTTGGAGGCTCTGTATCGACTACATACACCTCAATGCCATCACTTACGTCGCCAAGTATCCCATGCCTATCATCGAAGAGTTGTTGGACGAGCTGCACAGTGCAGCCTGGTTCTCCAAACTGGACCTGCGCTCGGGCTATCACCAGATCCGCTTGGCAGAAGGGGAAGAGTACAAGACCGCATTCCAGACACATTCAGGCCATTACGAATTTTTGGTGGTTTCTTTCG